TAGAATAAAGTTTATGATAACTGAAGACAAAGGTGAAGAAGAAACAGAAGAAGTAAGTAGAATAAATGTAAAGATAAAACTTCTTTTTGCAAATGTTTTCATTAAGCATCGCCGGTGAGTTGGATTTTGTACTGTTAGACGCCTGCAAAGCATTGATATTATACGTTTCATGTTTTTTTTAAAGGGATGCATGGACCAGTTGTCGTTTCAGTAAATATGCTTATCAGAAGGTAATTTATTGCTGTTTACTTTCTTTTTTCTTTGAACCTACCTTTATTGTATTATAAAACTTTTTATGTATCTTTTTTCTTCTGTTCTTTTTTTTTTCTTTTGTCTAACCAAGGTTTCTGACAGTTTCCGCTCGGACCACTGTTCAGTTTATAGTTGCTTAGTTTGTTGAAATTTTCCACGTATTTAAGCATGAATCTTTAAATTAGAATATCAAGGTATTAGCATCAAATTAGTGATGCAGCTATTAGTTTAATATTTTTATTTTTGTTTTTCTGTGTTTTTTTTCTGCTCAACTTTTCCTGCAACATCGTTTTTCTCGCGTATTCAAACCGATACATACCGTTCGGTTTTTTTTTTTTTGGTGTATTCAAGTGTAATAGATGAGATGCGGTACCGTAGGAAGTGTAAAGTGATTGATTAGATCAATGGAAAAAATTTGAGCAAATAATGGGTTCTGTAGGCTGAACATCTGATACAGATTGATAGTCGAACAGTTGTCTAGAAAGATACTGTTGAAGAAGACTTAAGGTTAGACTGTTTGCAACAGTGCTGGTTCTTTTTTTTTTTCTTTTTTTTGATTTTTTGATTTTATTGCTTTATCTTTATCTTTGTTTTTTGCACTTAATAAATGTCCAATTTTTCTTCTATTTTTTGTTGCCTACTTAGTAAGCAAATAAATTTAATCCTTTATTTCTGCATGTTAGCTTAAGCTAATAAGAGAAAGAAAAGTTTTTTTTTTCTGAAGTAATTTCTAAAAATGAAGCAACATATTTTAAAGAATTTTCTCACCAATTTTTTCAACAACAGCTTTTAAGCAAAAAAAAAAAAGAAAAAAAAAAGAAGAGAAAAAAATTTATGAATTTTTTAGTATTTCAAAAATGGATGATGTAAATATGGAGTATAGCATTCAACTAACGTTTCGTGAAAGTTGGGTTGACGGTCGTTTAGCCTACGGTTTACCCGGTGATACAAAACCAGAATTTTTAATTCTGGCTGTCGGTCAAAAAATATGGATGCCGGATTCATTTTTTCAAGTTTGTACAACTCTCCATTTTTTTATATTCCTTCTCCTTCTTTTGCAGTCAGTT